ATGTTACTGATGACAACTGTATCCCCTCCCTCAAAAAAAATCTCCACAAAAGGATGTTTAACTATGCAATATGTTTCCATAGCAATCCTAACATTTCATTTTTACATGAATGCGACAACTTTTGGATCAGTTGTCAGTCCTGGCTTCAGCTCATTGTAAGTGATATCCATAATTTAAGTGTTTCGTGATACTCTAAGGAATGTTGTATCAAAATAAATTGCACTGAATCTATGCTTTGACTCATTTCTTTACGTAAGAAAAATCAATTTCATGTAACACAGGGGAAACAAACCACATGGAAGATGTTCATAACCTGTGTAGCAAGATGCAATTAAAGATTTATTTGCACAGAATATAAAGAGAAATGGAAGCATACAGAAGTACTTGTCAAAGGCAATTTTAACGTTTTACACTCCAGGGTATAAGAGTTTGCAACTCAAGAGAAGAGCACTTTCAACAGCTAGATTAGCCCCTTTCCCTGCTATCCATGGGTGAAGCTGTAATCAGATATTAAAAAGAACTAGGTTTCCAAAGACAGCATTCAATTACAAGTAGACCTTTCCTTACAGCCATCACTTAGCATTACAACAGACTTCCCTGAGAGTAATGACAACCCAGATTCAAAGTTCGGATAGCCACCATGACCACCATCCCATGATCATGTGGTTGCACTTTGAGTGCTTTGCAACCAGGCAACATTTACAACTCACGGTTTATAGCGTCCCACAGTTATTTGACAGCATTTTATGACAGTTTTGCCTAAACCAGGCATTTACTTCTGATTTTTTGGCAAAACAAGCTGTAATGAACCGTTGGTTCCCTTAATGTCCGTCACATTTGCTTAATGATTGCTGGGGGGGGGTGGGAGTCCTAAGATCATGTTGGTCATATGGGTGACCCAATTTACAATCATCACAAGTTACAGTCATAATGGAGATAGTCATACCTGAGGGCTATCCACATTTCATTCTCCAATTCTTCTGCGTAATACCTAGATATGGAAATATGAGAGCTTCCAGGGAAGAAATGGTAGACTGAAGTGTTTTGTAGAGATGATTGCAGCTAAATCACCATGAGCCACGGTGGTGCAGTGGTTAAAATGCAGTACTGCAGGTTACTTCTGCTGCCTGCCGGCTGCCTGCAATCTGGCAGATCAAATCCCACCAGGCTCAGCCTTCCAGCCTTCCGAGGTGGATAAAATCAAGATCCAGATTGTTGGGGGCAATAGGCTGACTCTGAAAACCACTTAGAGAGGGTGTAAAGCATTGTAAAGCAGTATATAAGTCTAAGTGCTATTGCTATTGTAAAGAACAAGAAGCTGATAAGATCAGCTATTTCGACTTCTTCTGGAGAAAGAGGGGACAAGAGATTATCCGTGTTACACTCCACGTAGTTGCTTTTCACATGGTGACTGCAAGGTAGCAACTTCCAGAGGGTAGGAGAGCCCAGAGATGAGGGAGTTCGCTATTGTTGCTTCAGCAAATCAGAGTTTTCACTTGGTTCACACTTCTTTTGCTAACCACCTTTGGAAATTGTCTATTAATTGCTTTAGAGAACTTAAAAATGAAAACACTAGCTGAGTGTCATCAATCTTTAGCATAAACAAATGAAATTGTATCTTTGTAAACTTTAAGAATTCAAAATAAACAGCAAAAAGAAAAATGTTGGCTATAAAAATTTTTAAGTGAATTAAGAGCTTAGAAAAAAATGGAACATTTGATTTTAAATTAATTTGTAAAAATAAATTTTCAAGGAAAGATGGGGAAAGGATTTAATTTCCATTTTGGTGACATAGCTAGATGAGCAGCTAACAATATTCAGGGATATTGTTGAGGAATGGCAACAGGCCTCTGAACCAACAATGTCAGCTATGTTTTGTGCTTTTATGAACACCCTGTTTCCAGAGGCAGTAATTACACCAGAAGATGCTTTTACAAAAAAAAAAACACTAAACAAATTCCATCTGGCATGATTATGAAGAACATTAGAATAATTTATTTCTGGCTTTAGAAAAATATCAGATAAGGCTTTAAAAATTAAGGAGAAAAAATACCAATTCAAGAGAGTTATTGGAAAAATTTCCTCCTACTCCTTATAAAAAAGCTTGTTAATTCTGAAAACATTCAAGACAAGGATGATCATCCAAATGGAATTAAACAGCAAGATTGTTTAAAGTAAAAAGAAGGAACATAAAAGGTTATTTGATCAGAGTTAAAATGGGATGTGTTATTTGAGGGGCTTTCTGGACTTGCTGGCAACTGAAAAACAATGTATATTGGATTTGCTTAGAGTTAAGAGTCAAGATATGGAACACTGAATTTTTTATTTGTTAAAAGAATGTATTATATTAGGGATCTGTCTGGATTTTTTGTTGACCCTGGATTGAAAACCATGTTATTTATTGGACTTGCCTGTACTTAAGAGATTATGGGATGATGAGTTTTAAATTTGATAATTAAGAGGAGGTAAAGAGATAGTGAAACTGTTTAGCCTTGTGATGAAATAGGAATTGTTTTCTTAAGGGGCTTCTGTATTTTTTTCTTTCTGTTTTTCTTTTTTATACCTTTTATTCCCTCTTTCTATTTTTCTTTTTTGTTTGACTTTTTAGTTTTAGTTTGTATTATCTTTTATTTTTGTAGTTAAACATTTTAATAAAAAATACTATTTTAAAATACATATAGAAATACGAGTGGCATGACACTGTTGTTTTTCCAGTCTTGAGCCAAAAGCCAATTAGTGAAGCCAATTAGTCAAAATCAGGTTGATGACACCATGCATTTCGTAGAGACAGGTATTATAACATAGAAGGGATAATGATACCCATGGCTATTGCTTTCTGTAATATTCCTGTGACTCTCTATAATCTAGTTTTTCTTTTTAATAGCAGAAGAAAATCTAGTAAGATTGAAATAGAGAGAAGTCTTTTAAGGCAGAATATTAGGAGAGCAAAACAGAACTTTTGTAAATCATGTCATTTGAAGCTAATTAAAAATGCAAATTCAGAAACTGCTGAATATTTTAATGGCATTTCAGATTGCAACAAGGACAAACACTGAACATCTGAAAAACACAATCACCAAATATCAGTAAACAAATATAAACAAAAACACACACAAATAAGTGGTTCTACATTGAGATACATCATAAGGTATTTTCCTTCGAGAAACTGGTTTTCAAAATCTTAAGCATCAAAGTAAGATTCTTTAGATTCTGAAAATTACATTTTTTTTTATTTTCAAAAAAATAATGTGCACTCTTTAAAGAACATGTATACATAGAGAAAAAGACAGACAAACATTGCATTTTGTGATTTGCCCAGTATACAGCCATCTTCTCTAAAATGAGGTCTCCAATTTGAAAATATGCAACAATTACTTTCCCTCCTAGTAAAATATATGACATAATTAAAATACCCTCACACAACAGTTGCTAAAAACATTCGAGGTGGAGATCATAAAATGTGAAATGTATGACCATTAACCACGTTTTTCAGTAATGCGTCAGCTCTTTGTGGCTCTTTTACCTCCATTAAAACTTTGAGATATTGCAGCAGCTGAGCAACTAACTTGCTCCTCAAAACTAGCCATGTTGTGGCTTAGGAAAGAACAAGCTTTCTCCACTGTGAAAAGTCGGTCCTTTAGCCAATAGCAGCTAGTGATAATCTCATGCACCTCTATTTTATTTTAAAATCTTATAAATCAGTGCCTAGTCCATGTCAATAAAAATCCATTCTTATCTTCCCAAACCAACTCTCAAATTAAATAAAATCATACATTAGCTAAGGACTGTAAGGAGTATGAGTACATATCATTTTTAAATGGAGTTATCACGTAGAACAGCAATCCTCAACCTTTCTAGCTTGGCGGACTAGCGGAGGGGGTGAGGGAATGGTTCTGTATGAGTGGCGGGCGTACCCGCTGCTCACGCAGATGGAGTTCTGAGCACCAGTGCCAGCGTCCACCACTTGCACAAATGGGGCTTCATATGCCAGCGCTAGCACTTACTGCTCAGACAAATGGAAGCTTCACACACTATATGTAGGTTTTTAGAAAACTAAGTCATTGGGAATATTGATGTGAACTAAGCTCCAAATAATAAAAATGTAAGGAAGATTTCCTTATTCACCCAATTATCAATAAGTTCTATGTACTCTAACAATTCTAAGACAGGACAACTATTCGTTTGTGCTTCTTCAAGTTGTTGATCAGTTGTTTGCTGAATGTTCAATGCTGAATTTCACAAAGCCAGGGAAATGAGCCATCCATAAACAAACTTGGTGGAGGAATGAAGAAGTGCAAATAGCTGTGAAGAAGCTATTAAAAATGTTGTTCCAGTCCCACTTCAATAAAAATCTCCAGCATGACAGGGTGCAAAAATCGGTTGCCAGAGAGCAGTAGCAACAGCCAAGGTTGTTTATTACGACTACATATATGATAAGTTGGACATGCCCAAAATAAAAAAAGAAAATCTGCCTCTTGGCCAAGGCACATCATCAAGCCATTTAAGATATTGGCCAAATTAAGTACATATGAGGACCATCGACTGCTTCAAGTCATCCTCCACCAATGGAGTGATTACTTCTCCATTACTGCAAACCAATGTGGCTTTGTGAAACAACGGATCGCATTCTCACTGCTTGGTTCCTTTTAGAGCACTGTGAGAACTCCAAGCCCATCCACAGGACATTCCTTGACCTGGAAAAGGCCTTTGATCGCATCCCACAGTATTCATCCTTTGCATGGACACTGTGATGTTTGACCTCCAATTGTCCCATCCATGGTTGTTTTTCTATACCAATGATGTCTTCTTGGTGAATGAAAAGGAAAACTCCGAAGAGCAAACGTAGCAATTTTAAAGAACAGCTCAGCAAATTTGGATTTCAACTGAACATCAAGAAAATTGAATATATAGCAGTGGCTCCCAAACTGATGGAACCATCAGCATTGGTGGTGAAGACCTGAAGAATTTAAAGCTATTCCTTGGCTTCCTCATATGCAGTGACAGTAATAGCTTTCTGGATACCTGCACTCATGTCAATGCCGACTGGAGGAAGTGGCGCCAAGCAACTAGAATCCTGTGTGATCACTGGATGCCCCTACACCTCAAGTCAAAGATTTACAGAACAGTAAATCAAAACACGGGACAAAAGTGTCATTGTCAACAGCTAACAATCAACATCCCCCCTTCTATCAATTACAGACCAAACAAAAGCATTTCTGGGTCAGGCAATAAGATGTTACAGCATTTCTGGAAGAAATGCAGATGTGACATCACTGAGTGGGCAGGATTATAACTCCATTAAAAATGGTATGTACTCATATTATAGTGCTCTGTGACGTCATGCTGGCCACGACTGCGGAAATGTCTTTGGACAGTGCTGGCTCAATAGCCTTGAAACAGAGATGAGGCCCATCCTCTCTAGTCAGCAATGGCTACCAGAGTAAAATCTGCAGGGACTCCTTTCCTTTTGAAATTTTGTTTTAAAGCTTTACTGTTTTACTCATACTACTGCCATAAAATGAAATCAGATTCCCCTAATGGGATTTCACAAGGCCAAGTAACTAAGGAAACTTGCTCTCAGAGTATATACGGATTCAAGAAGCCATTGTCAACATACACCCATATGTGTGCTTTGTTGTGGTGGTTTGTCCTAACATCAGTGCAAAAGCCAAAAACAGTCAGGAGGATGAAATGATATGGTTGCTGTCTCGCTACAGGTTTCCACTCCAGACACTCCATCTGGCAAGGCCGAGATTGCATTGCAAACACTGTAAAATAGTATTGCTATTACTACTACTACTAACAAAATGCACAACAAAGTAATTCATAGCTCATACAAGTTCTTGCTTTTGTAGATCATTATCTGGTTAACAATCTACATTTGATAACCATCATAAACCTCAATTATTAGCCCCTTACCTACAACGTTAAGATTCTATACACTTCATAATTAAAACCTCTTCCGAGATAGCCATTACCACATAGATATCCTACCATTTTATCTCATTTGTTTCTAGGATTTCAGTTCCCTCATAAATAGTGTCCTTGTCTCTTATCCTATTTACTCTGTTCTCTAGGAACATTTGCCTCTGAAATTCATACTTTGCAGAACTACTGGAAGACTACTGAAACTTTAGCTAAAAAAAAATGGGGTAATTGAAGCAATGATTATTCACAATACCCTACTGCAGGAATTGAAATTGAGAGCCACATATAGGTTAATATAGCACATCAAAGCCAACTTTTTAAAAATGGGTGGGGCCTGTAGCTTGAATGGGAGGTAGTTAGAAAGCTTAGAGAGAGGGAATAAGTATTTTCACCATCTGAAAGATTAGATACCATTTTCTGCTTCAAACACTATTAAATGTGCATATTTGTTACCATTTACTTAAAAAAGAGCTCTGCTGGCCACAAAGCAGATCTTGGCAAGCTATATTTAGTCCCCCACAAGCCATACTTTCTACATCTCTGATTTATGGAAATTAATTTTAAACTCTTTGTTAAGCAATTTGCATGCCATTCTATAGAGATAATAATGGACAGTAAAGAGAATTGTTTTCTGCGTTCATCTGTGAAACTTCAAGTACAACTTTCAGACTTTTCTTCCAACTAGTGGCTACCAAATGCTCTTGCAAATATGAATTAAATATGCAAATCTGGCAGCACAATGTAAGTAGGATAATGCTCATTTAGCATTTGCTGGTGTGAATTTAAAGAAGGCCTAGAGAATTGGGTTGAACAGGGACTATATATATTTCTTAAGCTGATTTCTTTTTAGCATGGTAAAATTTTATTAAACTTGTTCCAATTTTAGCTTAAAATATGGTAATCTTTGGTAATTTAGCTTAAAATTTAGTTTAAAATTGGTAATGCAAGCAACCTATCCCATTAAAATTCTTCTTTTCAAGAATGGTCATTAAGTGAGAGAGAAGGAAGGGAGAGAAGCAACGCCCATTGTCCGGCAGAATGCTTGGACATGGCCTTGTGTTTTCCCTGGCTCAAAGAGAATTATGTCAATTTACATTAAAACATCAGTGTATTTTTAAAAAAATAAAAACAAGTATAATAACAAGATTTACTCACCAGCTTTAAAATATTCACAAAAACCTAGTAAGAAAAATCCTTCTTAGATACAAGTCTCACATTCTCCAGGAAATGTAACTGGACATTTGGGGTTTATATCTAAACTAAAGTGCTTTAAGAACTTATTCAGATTTGCATGATTGTAAAATATTGTCATTTGCCTTATGTGAGAATCTGACACAGAGAGTGGTTCCTCAGACCAGGAGTGTAATAATTTAAATAGATCTTGAAACCTACAGGAGTATTCCCAATATGGCAATCCAACATTTTATATCTGATGCATATATTTATAGTTTTCTTCCCTGACCCTTGTTTTTAATTCAGTAACTAAGCTATACTAGGAGTTGAAATTAATACTATATTTAAATCTTCAGATCACACTGTATATAGATGCAAGAAAAGCTCAGCTACCCATTATAGCAAACTGCTCCCTCCTTCATCTTAAAGAGTAACTTTATATTCTCTTTTATCCACAGGGCAAATGTGTAATGTGATGTGGGAAAGGTGAACTATATATTGAGAAGTACATAGAATTCATATTTAAGCTGCTTAATGCCCTAACGTTCAACTAGAATGAGTAACCTGCAAACATATATGCTCCATAGTAAAGCTAAGTGTCCTTCTAGACACCGGTGGATATCAAGATAAAAAAAAGTTCATACACAAGAACCTAATTCAACGTCTCTTAACCTTGGCTACTTTAAAATGTGTGGACTTCAATTCCCAGAATTTCTCAGCTAGCTATGGTGGTTGGGGAATTCTAGTTGAAGTTCACACGCCTTAATGTCGCTACGGTTCAGAAACATTGGCCTAACTTCTTTGAAAAGGTCACATTTTTTTCTGTACATTTCATGCAATTGTGCACAATGCAGTAACAATATTTCCAATTCCACCCACAGCCCTTTTCAAAGTGCGCCTTTTATACTGACTGCAGCTCACAAGAAAGTCTGCACAAAGTCTGTGGCAATAAAACTAGGGAAACATGAGGAGAACTTCTCATTTTTCCTGAAGCAAAGCAGGGATGTTGATGTTCCATCCAATAGCCTGACGATCAAATCCACAAGTGAAGAGGTTGCATATTGGATGATCTTCACTCCATGCTGAGCAGCAAACCATTCTTCTATGACCCTGGGAAAACAAAAAGGACAGTATTAGACTTTGCTTGGTTCTTTTTTTCTGCCTTTCTTATTAGGCTATACAGATAGTTCTTTAGCAACAATTTGAAGCACTGAAAAAAGTGACCTGCAACTGGTACTCTACAGTCACATAATAACAAAATTTGAGCATTTGGCAACTGGCATGCATTTACAATGGCAGGATCATGGAGTCTCGGTTTGTGACCTCTGCATCTGGCTTTCGAAAAGAAAGTTAATAGGGGAAGCTGGATTTGCTTAACAGCCATACGATTCACTTAATAACTGCACTGATTCACTCAACAACTGTGGTAAATAAGGTCATAATATTAGACACAATTCACTTAATAGCTGCCTTGCTTAGGAATGGAAATTCTGGTCCCAACTGTGATTGTAAGTTGAGGATTGCTTGTTTACACTGCCAAAATCTGCTACTTTCCAAACATGTATCCCAATACAGAATATTGACCATACAAAAAGGAATCACTAAGCAAGCAAAAGTATATTTTATTTTTTAGATAACTATCACCAAAACTATGGCTGAAATGAAATCAGGTATATAGATTTTTGGGAATCTGAGGAACAGAGATAGTCCCTCAGAAATTTTGAAAACATAGAAGTTGTTCAGTTTTTCTTTTTTAAAAAATATAGCATTAAAACAAAGAAAAATAGAAAACACATTTTCTATTCAGTGAAAGTTAAGCTCTTTGAATATTTTTTTAAGTTCCAGTTATTTACTAAGAGAATCAAGACAATACAAGTAGCCCTCCATTTACAACAGTTCATTTAATGACTGCTTGAAGTTACAATGGGACTGTAAAAAATGATGGTGACCATTTTTCACCCTTTATGATGGTTGCATCATCCCCATGGTCATAGGATCAAAATTCAGAAGCATGGCAACTGATTCATGTGACATTTATGACAGTTGAAGTGTCCCAGGGTCATATGATCACTTTTCGAGACCTGACAAGCAAAGTCAATGAGGAAGCCAGATTCACCTAACAACCATGTCATTAATTTAACTGCAGCGATTTGCTCAACAACTATGGCAAGAAAGGTCACAAAATGGGGCAAAATTCATTTAACAACTGTCTTGCTTAGCAACACAGATGGTTGTAAGTCAAGGATTACCTGTATGTTGAAATAATTTTTTATAGATCTTGTTTAAAAATTGGTTTGTGCTGAATTCTATGCATAGAGAACAGCATAATTTAAAATGTACAGCAGATTTAACAGATAATCAGAGTTGGAAGGGACCTGGTAGGTCATCTAGTCCAACCCCCTACCCAAGCAGGAGACCCTACACCATTTCTGACAAATGGCAGTCCAATCTCTTCTTGAAAGTCTCAAGTGATGGCGCTCCCATAACTTCCGAGGGCAACTTCTGTTCCATTGGTTGATTGTTCTCACTGTCAGAAAGTTTCTCCTGATTTCCAGGTTAAAACTCTCCTTGTTCAGTTTCCATCCATTATTCCTTGTCTGGGCTACAGACGCTTTAGAAAATAGACTGACCCCTTCCTCTCTGTGGCAGCCCCTCAAATATTGAAAGACCGCTATCATGTTTCCCCTGGTCCTTCTCTTCACTAAATTCACCAAGCTCAGTTCCTGCAACCGTTCGTTGTATGTTTTAGCCTCCAGTCCCCTAATCATCCTGGTTGCTCTTCTCTGTACTTTTTCTAGATCCTCAACATCTTTTTTATAATGTGGTGACCAAAACTGGATGCAGTACTCTAGGTGTGGTCTTTCTAAGGCTTTATAATGGTATTAGTACTTCCCTTGATCCTTCTTCAATCTAGTGTAATGTAACCGCAGTTCTCAAAAGGAACAGTGTCTTATACACTGTGCTATTTAGATGTAAAAGCACATAAAGTAGTGATACATTCAAAAATCTATACATTGAGTTAAGTTTTTTGTTTTTTGCAAACCGTTAAGTTAAATGTAGTATGTTAAAGAGCCTTGAAAAAAATACTTTTGTGAGAGAGATAGTTTCGCTGTTACAATGACTTCACTCAATTGACCAACTAATTCAATGTTTTAACATGTTCAGTGTTAACATGTTCAATTCAATGTTTTATACAATGGCAAGCAGCTGAAATGTTAGACTAAGACTAGATTAATATATGCTATTAGTCCTTGACATATAACCAGTTGCCTAAAACCCATTTTAAGAGATGATGTCCACCCACCCCTGCTGAGAACTACTTATGACCCATTTTTGAAGTTACAACTGCCACATGTACACTTGGGCTGTCACATGATCATGATCACATTTTGGGCACCTAGCAACCAGCTCATCTTTACGACTGTTTGCAGTGTCTTGTGGTTATGTGACTGCACAATTGCAATTTTGCGTGTTCTCAGTGTTTACTTCCAGTTTCTGGCAAAATCGCCCACTGGGGAAAATGGATTCACTTAAATGCAGTATTTGCATAATGATTGTAGCATTCACTTAATAACCATTGTAAAAAATGGTTGTAACTGATGCCTCAACTTATGACAGCAATAACTTCAACAACAATTCTGGGGTCAATTAGGGTTGTAAGTCAAGGTCTATCCGTACAGGAAAGGAGGATAAGTATTTTTAGTTTAATGACAACTGTTTTTCTGCAACAACATGGTATGTTTCAACTAAATAATATATATTTTGTAACATGCAGAAAAACAACTTAAGGGGAGAATGAGAGAGATGTTAAAGAAATAGCTAAAGTTTTGCTACCTGTCTGTTGCTGCGAGGAAGACGTGCTAATCGCACTCCAGACATGTCAAATAATCTAACCTGTCGGTTGTCATGTGGAAGGGCAATGATTTTTTGCCCAACACAAACATTAATCCTGTGCAGAGGAGATAAAAAAATAAATTAGACAGCCTGCCAGGAATTGACAGTAGTTCAAGGCCACTGAAAGTGATTTAATTGGAATTTCATGCTACACACAGTCCCCACAAATATAATTTTATTTTCTACAAAAAAAATGGTTGGTTTCTGGCACTGATGGTATCATAGACATTCACAAAGACATTACCAGATGCACCCCCATAGTCTTTTGCTAAAGACAGAAAAACCCCTCTGAAGCTCACACATCCTGATTCCCTTCAGAAAGAAAACCTGCTCTGGAGGTAGTACTTAATGAGCACTGGGGGCCGCTACTAAAACCAGCTGAATAGAAAAATTGCATCAATTCATTTGAAGTACTTTAGCTGTGTAGACCAGGGTTTCTCAACCTTGGCAACTTTAAGATGAGTGGATTTCAACGTCTGGAGTCCATCCATCTTAAAATTGCTGAGATTGAGAAAACGTTAGTATAAATAGATCCTTTGCATTTAAAATTTTCAAATCATCACAATATGGCAATGAATATGCAGATCATAAACATTCCCCACCCTCAAATACTAAAAAATATATAATCAATTTGCATTAATTTAAGAGCCTAATATGCTTTTACTGCAAAAATGGTCCAAAAGACTATAAAACCTTTTGCCTTAATGAACAAAGCTTTGTTGCCATATTTTTTTCAGGCAGTTTTGAAGAAAGATGGGATATCAATCCAAAAACCGCCTTTCAAACCACAAACACATATTACCTTCCCTTCTCAATTAAACAGTATTCATACTCTTCATAATTCATAATTCCCTTATACAGAAGAGGCTAAAGCAGCAACCATAGTTACAAAATACCACAAATGATTAGATGAAGTCAGTCCTTAGCTGCCACACTAGAATGCTATTTTTCAAACAATGATGCCAAAGACATGTAACCTCAACAATGCATTTTAGGAAGAATTAAGAAAAACAGGCATTTCAAAGCAGTAGCTGTTTTCTACTGTTTTCTACTAAATCTTAAATTATGTTGTGATCGGAGTACCACTTTTTATTAAACAAATGCCTACCAGATTAAATGAAATATGGCTTACCTGTTTACTGCAGAGTCTGTGCGAATAGTAGCAATGGGTGATCTCATATTTTTCAAGTCCCAAACTTTCACAGTACGATCATCACTACCTGAAACCACATTGTCTCCCACAGTGAAAACAGCTGAAGTCACAGTGCTTGAAGGAAAGAAGTTAGAGCCACAGTTAACCATGTTACTGAGAATTCTGTGATAATTTTAAATCTACAGTATCCTCACTATTTTGAGAAACCACAAGGAAGATTATCGACACGGAGGCACGGAGCTGCTTGACTCTGGGTTCAATTATGAACCTTTACCAGGCATGTATTTTAACATAGCAAGATAGCTTCTTTCACACAAAAGAAGAGATATAATTTTGTAACTGCATGCCAAATCACATACACATATTATATGTAGTCTTTCCTAAACAGAAAAGCTACAGGACATTCAATTTTTGTTATGATACTGATCTATTTAAAATTAAAACATCTGTCATATTTGAATTATAGGAAATAAAAATGGTTTAATTTCATTAACCAGAAATCTATTAACCATTGCATCTGAAAAGATAATAACAGGGGTTTTAAGTTATTTCTTTCATCCTTTTGCCCTAATGGGCAAAACTTGGTTGCCATGATTTTTCAGACTGTTTTGAAGAAGCATGGGAAACGTCCATTCATCAAGTTATTTCTTTCATTGCAATGCTTCTTGCTTGCTCCACCTACACAGCCTGCTAACAAAGCACTTTGGTTTCCTTCCCTGATTCATTACAGTCTGCTTCTCAGCTCAATTTCTATGGATCGCATTTAATGACCTATCCTGTTATAGCTTGGGGTCACACACATCAATTGCTTGGAATTTAGTAATTTTAATTTAAAGTGTCAAGTTGCTCCTGTCACTTCTATTGTACTGTGAGAATCTGACTTCATGTTGTATTCAGCCTACTGATTGAGATTAGTATTACCCAAGTCACAGTGGGCTAGTATGTGCAAGGCCTCTTAATTTAAATTGACATCAAATTAAAGTCTAATTAGATCCAAATACCATAGTGTCAGTGGTATGAAGTTTTTAAATGCTGCATCAGACTGCCCCTGAGCTGGTCGGGGTAATTATGTGGCATGAACTAGAGGCCTTCAGAGCCCAATTATATAAGCCTTTGTGTCTGAACTGGTGTGGGGGCATAAGCAATTACAAATGGCCCCTGGTACCAAGGAAGATCTCCAGAATTACCATACATTCATAGCAAGGAGAATACTGAATCTCCCAAAATATATGCATTAGGTACTGATATATTCATGCTAGCAGCGGGTGCCGCTCTTTGGCAACACGACAATTGATTTGATCCCTTCATCATGCATTAAAATTATTCATCTAGTTAAGTTCTTAAAAGCTTGTTACTTTCAAGCAACCATTCAAATATCTTTTGAACTTCTGCCCTAAAATGCGAATGATTTTATTCTTTCCACTTTTCTGAATTTACAGATACAGATAATCAGAGTCGGAAGGGACCTGGTAGGTCATCTAGTCCAACCCCCTACCCAAGCAGGAGACCCTACACCATTTCTGACAAATGGCAGTCCAATCTCTTCTTGAAAGTCTCAAGTGATGGCGCTCCCATAACTTCCGAGGGCAACTTCTGTTCCATTGGTTGATTGTTCTCACTGTCCCAGGTTAAATCTCTCCTTGTTCAGTTTCCATCCATTATTCCTTGTCTGGGCTACAGACGCTTTAGAAATTATATTGACCCCTTCCTCTCTGTGGCAGCCCCTCAAATAGTGGAAGACTGCTATCATGTCTCTCCTGGTTCTTCTCTTTACTAGACTAACCAAGCCCAGTTCCTGCAACCGTTCGTTGTATGTTTTAGCCTCCAGTCTCCTAATCATCCTGGTTGCATCCTAATCTACACCCCAAAGTTGCAGTATATATGAAATCAACTTTTTACAAAACTGAGCTCCTCTAAGTGTTCACTGGAGCACAAAAAAAATCAATAAAAGAGAATACTTGCAGCTCAGAGTTTAACTGTGGGGTCCTTGGGGGTTTCCAAACATAGTTGCTTTCTTGCAGACATTTCATTACCCAATAATAGTAAACAATACCTCAATCAAGGAACTAACATCTCAAACAACCAATCAAACAGTCTAATCAAGGAACCACCAAGATCACTTCACCAAAAATGACAGGACAGGCCACTTGTATATTGCACTGCATCATCAAGCACTGATGAGACTAAGTATTTGGGTAATGAATTGTCAAACCCTGTAGTTCTGGAGTGGATCAATCCTTCTCCCCAAGGAAGAAAACAACCAAGCTCTGAAAACACCAAGGGCCTCACAGAGAACAGAAGATCCAACACACCATATTGAAAATACCTGTGCTGCCAAAGCAGGGCTGTGATCATATAAAAGGGTCTTGTTTTATGGGCTCTCGTTGTCTGGGATAACCTCCAAGCAGATTTCCCAGCACTGCTTTGAAAGATTCTGAAGACTTCTGGTGTTGGGGACTGACCAAAGATTGTACACAGATGTACCTTCACTGTAAGTGACCATCTCACTTCCACTTACTGGGGATTCTTAAAAGGTTTGGAGAGCAATATCACTATTTGTGTACAATAACTCATGGTTGAAAAGCCACCTAATTCTAAGGAATTAAACCCAACCATGTCTTTGTTCTTTTAAATCTTCTCTTCCAATCCGTGGCTGCAATCCTCTAATTGGTCTTCCCCTCAATCCCAACATGGCCCTTTTGATACTGGGCAAACACACAATCTCTCCTAGACTTTGCCTCCCCCACCAAAAAAAAGTTTATGTTGATGTCCCAATGCAATGATTATAGCAATAAAATACTGTGTTCCTTTTTGGAAAGGTGGCCATAAAAAGACCTGGGACTATGTGTACATGTGTGAATGATTATTCATATTTTATTTTATTTTTACGATATTTATTTATTTATTTATTTATTTAGTAGCCAATTTATATGGCTGACTATTTAAAAGCAACGATATTAAGTTTCTATACATTACATTACACACAACAGTTTTCGCATTCTTACTGCAGGACATTTAAATTTTCCATACATCCTTATGGAAGTCCTTTATAAAACTGATAAAATTCTGTCAATAAGGACTTTGCATTTTGTGTTTTAAGGACTTTGCATTTTGCGTTGTGTTGGTGGATGTTATCGGAGACTTCTCAAGCAGGGCAAAAGAATAAACCTTATCCATTTTTCTCAAGCAAGATTATCCAGATATTTCCAATGGTAAGCAGTCAGAGCCTTTGCTGCTAAAAACAGGAAAATAATATGGTTCTTGTTTTGAAACCTTTTGTACCTCCCATTAAGCACAAATAATACGGATAAATTTGGTGTGAACTCAACTATTTGTTTGGTTATTGCTCTCATTTTATTAAAGGAAGTTACCATTCTATTCCACAAAATGTGAATTCCATCTCATGCTGTTTATTTAACATAGAATGAAATTGTTCTTCAAGCTTTGGAATGAAATGCATGTATTTAATGGCATTTCAAGGCCACTCCAAACACCAAAGGACTCTGGGTAGCTGACAAACAATAATGCAACTAAAGTAAGCAACTAATCCAAGAAAATGTATATTAAAAACCCCAAAACATTAAGATGTGTATTACATTTGGCTCACATCTGAGGATCCAAGAGAGGCAGTAAACTTTACAAATTAGGAACAAATCAGGGGAAATAAACTGAAATTCAATCGAAGTAAATGATTTTAAGAGACACTTTGAAGGTGACCCTGAATCTACCAATTTCCTCAGATGCTAAGATACCTTATGATTACCAATTATGGCCTTTCCCAGAGATGCAATCTAAGTTATCTCTGGATTCATGGAATTTTAGCAATTGTACCGCTTTGGGAGTATATTTGGAAAAGTTAAATGAACAAAATATGGATTATTTTCTTCCAGTCATGTTCAGCAGGTGTACGATCAGCCAATTAATATTTTGGCTCAGTTTAAAATTCTGAGTTCAGCCTTTGAAACCCTAAATGGGCTGAGCCCAAACTTTAAAAAACAGAGAAGGAACAGTAAACCTGAAAGATAATGTAAAGGGAAAAAATGCATATTGGATATGGAAATTAGATCAGATGGCAGAAATGGCAAACAGAAATATGAAAATTTTATCAAAACTAAGGAACACTAAAATAGGAAGTAATAATCAAACTACTTCAATATTTCTTGAAAGAAAATGCAAACAGTGGCAAAAGAAGAAAGCACCCATCTTTCCCTATATAGGAAAAGAAACTGACATGGGGCAGATGATAGAGAGGCTGCGCAAGGGAAAATTAACCACTAAGCCCTCCGACTGAAATCAATATAAAGCATTAAACCAACCAAAACTGCAATTAGATAGCATTTAATTTAACAGCATGTGGCACTGAATAGCCTTTATTTTTTATTATACACATACACACATACTCCCACACAGAGGGTATTCCATTCTCCATCATGAACAATCCACCATTGAGAATTACAGACTAATCTATCATGAGGTCCAGGGCAGGTTGGTAGACCATTATTCCCCCTCCCCGCTCCCCGTTGAGAGAGGAACTAACCCAAAGTCATTTAACTGACCTCGTACCCAAGTGAGAACTAGGAGCTGGGTCCCTCATCCCTAATCTAGAACCTTAACTACTACTTTACACTGGCTGTAATAAGCAGTTAATTATAAGCCCAGGCCGTGATCAAAAATATAGGTAGAAAAATAAAAAAAAACAGAAAAATAAAAATTCATTCATACAAGACGAACTCTGAAAAATACTGGCAGAATATAGAGCAGGGATAAATTTTATTTTTCAGAGAGGTGCTTTTTCTGAAGGGCTGAATCCAAGGTAGTTTAAAGATAAAGCATGTTGAAAGAAAGAAAGAAAGAAAGAAAGAAAGAAAGAAAGAAAGAAAGAAAGAAAGAAAGAAAGAAAGAAAAGGAAACTGCAAGGGGACCATCAACTATGATAACAAAATAGGAGATCAAACTAAGTGACATGCATCGTATCTCCATTTAAATCAATTGTGTTGAAATATGCAGAAATACATGGAAACCTGCTTATGCCAATGCTATGCAAATAAAATAAAATTTTATTGCAGAATGCTTTGTCTTTTGCAAAAAAAAAATAAATGTTTTATTTTTGTTCTGCCCTTATTATTTTTATAAATAACTAAAGGTGGCAAACACACCTAATTAGGAAATCATGCGTTCCATTGTTTTTTTCTGCAGTCTACGAAAGCATGTGGCAACCCCAAAACTATTTCTAAAAAACTGAAATTAACACTCATATTTGATGCCTATCATAAAATATTGGCTCAAAATGGTCTTATTTTAAATGTTGGTGAATTGTCATTTACAAATATTTCAGCTGGGGAGGGAGAGATTAAAACCTAAGGTCACCACCTTTCCAAATATTTTTCATTAAAAAATTCATTAACATCCCCAGCTAGCAAGCTCTTGGAACAAAGGTCTTTAAAAAAACAAATAAAATAATAGTTTATTAATCTATTACAAGAAACCAAGGCTCTTGTGACATTTTAAAGATTAGTTCCAATCTAATAAATAGAAGTGACACAAGTTCTTATGACAGGAATTGAGACCAAAATTGATTTATTAACAGTACATAAACTTATGTATCATATAAAACGCTCAGGAATAGGCTTGTTGATTCTTTCATACTGCCCACAATTGAGATGTTTTAAAAATATTGTTGACAACTAAAACTTCATTTTATTTCAAATGTGCAAATGGCATATAATACTATTTCACTAAAATCTTCAATATTCTCCAATTTATACATCAAATAAAGTAGGCATTTGCCTTTGGAAGCTTTCCCTAAAACATACTTGCTTATTTTTAAAGTACTGCTATCTTCCCACTTTGATAGACTGATAAACAGATAAAGGGGATCATACAATTTTATCAATAAGTACATTTATTTTACAAAGCATGAAAAATTCTCATGGATCATTTACCAACTACATAAACGCATCTGAAACAATCCCTTAATGACCTCATTTAATTAAGCAAAGCCTGCGAATTTAAATCCTCCAGAAATGATACTTCACAGCACAGCATTAAGAGAGCCTGGTATTAATTTTTTTTAAATTAAAATTAAATGTATTGTGGGTTTTTTGTTCCAATTTAATGCAACTTTCAACTACTATAATTTGCAGCTTTGACATGAGGCTATTACATATTTGCTCCAGCGACAAACAATACAGGAGTGAAGCCACCACTTTTAACTTATTCACCGAATTGAGGTGTAAATACAAAGTTAATGGAAAGGAGGTTGTTAAATAAAGTGTTCAGTTAATGCATTTGCCACTTCTTTAGAGCTTTAATGATCAACAATACTGTTCAAAGTGCACTTGATTCTGAAAAGTTTAACGAACTATGGAAGCGAAGGTCATTCAATGCCCCCCCCCCATTTTTCTCTCAATAGATGCTGGATTCTTATGCAGCTGTAGCCAACTTAAAACTGTGGTTAACATCTCTTCAACTAAATTAATGAAAAATGTCAACAAGAGATCATTAGGCTCTATGTTAATGGAACGCTAAAAGGCATTAGGCTTTTAATAACTCAACAATGGATGACAGGTATCTTTGGGTATTAAAAAAAAGTTGGCAAAAAGATATTATTCATAAGACACCCTGATATGGTAGGTTCCCCAAAGGGAGTTTGGTGTGCTACTACCATTCTCCAGAAAAACTTCAGACTCTGCCAAACCTCAGCAAAACTCATTTATCTTGTCGTAGGAAGCACCAGAGCATGTACTTCCAGCTGACAGAGTGGCATTCTCTCACCACACACCACTGCCTGAACTGGAATATCCTGCTCCCTCTGTGGGTCTCAATCAACAGAAAGACTGTAATGCTAGCACTCCTCATTAGGACTAACAGCTGTCTCCCTAGTCACACAGAGACACAAAACTGTTTTGCATAACAATCTGCTGAAATTTCACACTGGGGCTGGGTAGGAGGAAGTGGGGGCAGAAAATATGAGGCAGAAAATGCTGGACCATGAAATGGTGATGCAGAGTGCGGTTTGGAACAGCTTTGGAAAAAAATTAACACTGTGGTGCCCATTTCACTCATATAGCACGACATTTAGACAGAGTTAAGAGCTTTTTTTAAACACACACAGATACCTTTTTTTTTTTAATAAAAGGGCCAATTTCCAGGAAGCTGTGTTTATTACTTTTAAAAATAGAGGTTCTAACTTATGTATCCAATTTGGAGCCTGTCCATCTCCCTCTAGGTGGTGTACAATTAAAACATAGAAGCCATATAAATATTATATTCCAATATTTGAAGTTAAAAGGGGGGAGATTCATTTAATCATTCATTCCAATACATACATGTATAGTATCAGAAGCTATGAATGCTTGTATTTTCCAATCAACAATATAATTCCCTTTAAAATATTATGGCCTTTTCACATGGTGCAACATGTGCAGATGACTAGAAAATGTGTTACTCTGATACATGTAATATTTATTTTTAAGAACTGTATTATGCAGCAATAGTACTACTGTTTTCAACACTCTCAAGGTTCATTAGGAATATTTATAACATGTACATATCACCAGTGTTCTGCATGCAAAGTTAACCATTAGTGTGGCTTTAAGAGGGGATTAAAAAGCAAAATTACCACCAACAAAACTGAAGCCTTCTTCTTTACACTACTAATTCAAGATGGTAGAACGTAAAAGTCAATATTTTTAAACAATTTTTTTTATAAAATCAGAATGGATATCAATACTCATACTGAGATATTTAGAAAACTGGAAGCTTGCTAACATATCACAATATTCAGTGTAGGAAAGGTTTGTCATGTTTTCAGCAATATATTTTAATTCCTATTATCCCTTCATTTTTCTATTATTATTGATCATTTTAAAGTAGCTGTTTCTTCCTCTCATCTGGAAGTCTTCAATAATTTGAGGTTACATAATATAGACCTTTTTCAAACAGAAGTGATTGAAGCCAGTCTTTATTTTTGCAAATTTAATTTCAGTTACTTAAAAGTTACAGTTCAGTTTTCTGATATAAAAATAGAAAATGAGGACACCAGTTTCAAATCTTTGGATTAGAAGTGAGTTTGGGAATATTTCCTTCCATTTACATATGAAATCCTCTTTTCACAAGCATCAAGATCTGATTTCTACAAGTCCTGCCTCAGAATACTTAAGGTCCTTTTCTGAAATTATTATGATATGTCACCTTTAAAATATAATGATCCACAATCTAACAAACACTGAATTATCCTGAGGATAATTGATAATGGCCACAATGCACTCAAGCCACTTTAAATAAAAAACAGCTACAAAAGAAGAAATAAAATCCTGACAAATAAAATAAAACTGAAAAAAGAAAGAAATAGTCATTCCCCGAGTTTAATCCTTCAGACATTCAAAGTAATATTATAAACAATTATAATATTAAAATGGATATTGGGTAGATTAGTGGAAAATAGGACTACTTGTAGCTACCAGTTGTTATAACCATAAATTCCACAATATCAGTCACTAGAAACCATCAGTGAGGCAGCATTACTCAACCTATGTCCTAATATAGGTACAATCTCTACCTATTAGCTTCTAAGAAAAAAGGAACTGAGGTGAATAGATCTTCCCGCATAGGGGTCTCTATGCGGGTCTCTTCCCGCATAGTTCTTCTGTTTTTACATATAATTGTCCTTAATCTTCATTCTGTGACCTATCCAAGTCTCACCCTTCTGCCCCTCTGACCAGATGCCTTACTCTTCTATAAAATGCTTGCTGAAAATAACAACTGAATAATTGATACTGAATTACAGATAGTCCTCAACTTACAATCATACTGTGATGACCTGGGGCAAAGTATGGAAGCAATACAGCCAGCTGATAGTTCAGACTCTCCTTTATTGCTCCAGTTTTCCCCCAAATGCTCCCATGTTTATGGCAAGTTCCGGAGCAAAGCACTCACACACACCACTAGCAGCCTCTGGTTGCGAGTAGTCCAGCAAAACGCTGTTAACAACAGCTTCAAGGCAAGAAGTCCAGCAAGACAAAGAAACAAAGCAACAATAAGACAAGAAGTTCAGCAAAATCCAGATGTTGGCAGTGGCACACAAAACTCCATGAATTCAGCGCTTGTTCTGATAAATGCCCCTCCCTACAGCATCTCCTTAAGTCTCAGTCCCCAGGTATGCCTTGTAAAGGGGGGAAGTCTTCTCCTGAGTCGCCAGGTTGGCCTACACTGCTCCCACCTGCTCCCTAGTCTCCGTGCTCGGGGATCAGAAAGGGGCAGTCCTTGCTCGTTGCCTGAGCTCCATCACTCCTTATCTCCACTGCCTAGCCTCTCTTCCCTGCTCTCTCAATCATCCTGTCTCCGTTCTTTGCTGGCCATCTGTCCCAGGCCTGAGGGACCTGGGGCTGCCTCGTTCTGTTCCTCCCCATGTTCCTCTGGAGCCAACAACATCACCCCCCTCAATCTCCATCAGCCCCAGCTCTGGCTCGCCTTCCTCTGCAGACTCAGGCTCCGACGGACCCATGACACATTTATTTAGTGACCATTTCAAGTTCCAACAGCATTTTTTAAAAAATGACTTACAACCAATCTCTGCATTTACAACCACCTTGGTAGCCCCAGGGTCATGTGATCAAAAATCGGGCATTTGGCACCCAGCATGTATTTATGACAGTTGCAGTGTCCCAGGGTCATGTGATCACCATTTGTGACCTTCCTAACTGGCTTCTAACAAGCAAAGTCAATGCGGGTGTGTGTGTGTCTCGATTTGCTTAACTACCTCATGATTCATTTAACAATTGCAGTATGATTCACTTTACAACCGTGGCAAAAAAGATTACGACAATGGGCATATGACTCACTTAGCAATCATCTTTTTTTGCAACAGAAACTCTGGCCAAATTGTAGTTGTAAGTCGAGGACTATCTCTAGGCCAAGGGTCCATCCAGCAGAACCCTGATTGTAATCACTGGCAGTGGTGCACTTTTTCCAATCACCCTAGTGATGCTACAATTGAAGCAACACTGTATCAGTAAGCCTACACAACAGCTTTATTAGAGCAAATTAATTCTGAGCACTATGTATATTCAATTAATACCACATGAAAGTTCATTACCATTACCATCTAATATAAAGTCACCACATCCTACAGAAAAAAATGTGCTTATTTCTCCGTCCTGTTTCATTTCTTAGAAGACATAACTTGAAATCAACGCACTTGCAAACTCCAATTGAAATATGCTTCTAAATTTTTTTTAAAAAAACCTCAACAAATCCTATGATTAAACATGGCATTCCTCACAGAAACTATAAATGGCTGAACATGGAAAGAAGTATTTCTCATTTTGAGTTTCAAAACAGGATAAAGGCGCCATCTGCTGGAGAGAAAAAAGGCAATGCCCACAAAATAATTTGTGGGTTTTACTACATTTCAGCTATAAATTTACAAGTTGTTATTTAAAAATGTGCTGTCTGCGTTCATTAATATAATCTCAGCGTCTTGACAACTGACCACTTGTCCAAGAAAAGAACATGCAATTCTTTTTTCTTTTTCTTTTTAAAGAACAGCAGCATTCAAAAAACATCTAGAATGGTTTGATTGTTCCCTTTTCATGAGAATAATAGAGAACTAGCTGTACCATATCTTCCACATATATGAAAGGGTACATCTTTATCCAGCCTTTCTAGATACACGTTCTCTACAAATAAGACCAGTAGATTAATATGATCTCTTCTAGGTCTTTCAAATCAATAAGCATTCTTTACCATTTAAAACTTAAGCTCCAGGATTTTAAAAGAAATTATTTTATAAAATCAATGCAACAAACTATAATCAGCAAACGCAGATTTCAATGCAGTGCTAGGGACATTAAAAAAGAAAATCTATGTTTTTTGTCACATTTGAATGCCAATAATCAAGTTATTACTTGACCTTGAATTTTTTCCATAAAGAAACTGAGAATATTCCCCCAGACTTCCTATGAGAAAAAAATTAATAACTAAATAAGAGCTTCTGTATTTGTTTCAAGACAAGAACTCCTTGAACAAGACACATGTTATTAGAAAAAGGTTTCATGGTAACCATTCATATGTTCAGCTTCAGGGCACTGCCAAAGGTAACAGAACTGACATCAACTCTTCACAATTTCTGTCAATAGAAAGCAACATACAAATAGATCTTTACAGTAAAAAAGAACACAATACATTTTTATTGTTTTGACATAAAATGTATTGAAGTATTAAAGTATTAATTATATTAATTAGTATAATTTGTATCAAGTATTTTATCTATAAAAGTAAATTGCTATGATATACAGAGGCAAACTGGAAAAAAAACCAAAGACCATGAATACAGAATGATGAAGAAAAATGAATCAAAATATACAATACAAAGATTACTGAATAACTAAAATGAGCTCCACATGCAGGAAAGAATGCTGAAACAGTCATAAGTGGCATATTACATGATAAAACACAAAACATTTAATTTGGATTCCTGTTTATTTAATTCCATCCCCGTTTCTCTGTTTTATTTGTTGATGAAAGTCTAATAAAATTTATCTATACATGATATTTTAGGAGAAAATAACTGAAAAATGTATGCAATCTTTCACGATTGAATTGGATGTATCTTACTTGTCCTCAGCATTTATTAAAGCTTTAAATTAGGCTATAAAACATAAAAAAGGAAACTCAGACTAATTACATTTAGCATGAAAAATTCAATAGAAAACTTTTCCTATATCAGTAGCTAAATACAATTCCCATGTAAAAAAAAAAAACATTCTAGGACAAAGCGGTCACTTACTCTGTATGGCCCTGAAAGACATTCACAGAGTGAATAGAAGGGTCTCTGAAATCCCATAGACGGAAGGTTGTGTCACGTGATGAAGTTACTACAAGGCGCTGGGTGGGGTGAGTGCAACAGTGTGTAAGTTCTTGATCATGTCCTAAAACCACAAAGCAAAATATTATGAACTTTGAAAAGGCCTGACCTACTCACAAAAATTTGGGATGAAGAACATCAGAGAAACAATTATGTTCCGAAGGTTATCAAAATGGTCTTAGCAAAAGAAGTTTGCCCAAACCAGATTAAAATTCTGTTCCAATATTACTTGTTCCCTATTGGAATATTGTGGATTAAATTCCACATTTCATCTAAATACAGACATTTTTAAAATGTAAGGGAACAAACTTCTGTCACTTTTGTATTGATGTGACTTATGAACATGATGGATATTATGTAAAGCAAATTTTGAGTATCTATATAAAAATGGTACCCATGATTAAATAAAGAAGGGGCCATCGCTTCTTGCATGCTTTCAGAAACACATAATGCAGCCTGCTATCTGTAGATATTTACGTATCTGTCACAATCACAGAAGCATTTTTTATATTAGACCAGATACCACGTTTTCCTCTATAACAAGAAATGTTCAGACACTAATATTAAACAAGTTTCCAGTTCTATGCAGTTTAATTTGGGGCTGCTAAAATTTACAGCTTATAAAGGTATAGTTATAGCAACATATAACTATATAATTTCTAGCGAGTCTACTATAAAGTACAGCAATTAATCCTTGTTTTATTTTAGGATTACAGAGTCATAATGTTGCAACGTCTGTATGTCAGCTACTGTATTTCCCCATGTATAAGCCACCCCTTTTTTCCAAAATTTTCAAGCCCAAAAAGTAGGGGGGTGGCATATACAAAGCAGGTATACTTTTTATACGTGAAAAATGCATAAAATAATAAAGTAGGAATAAACTGATTTTCCAGCAGTATGCTATACTTTTTTGTAAAAATTGTAAGTGATGATACGATTACAAGTGCGAGTACGCGATAGAAATGCATACGCTAGGCATCGGCCTGAATGCTTCGTTCCTACTCTCGTTCCGATGCGTAGATTGCTAGCGTCGCCCGCACCGCTTTTGGCGTCATGACCGAAGTTGTAGATCTAGACGTCGAATTTTGTTTCTTTGTAAATTTTCTTTCTTCATAACTTGTTTCTCTAATAAAATATTTTTTTCAAAACTTCACAGTCCAAAAATTGGGGGGGTGGCTTATACAAAGGGGGTGCTTATACATGGGGAAATACGGTAATCCATTTTTCTTTCAGTTGCAATCATATGATTTACCAATAAACTATTAAAAAATGGTAAACTTGTTACCAGCAGAAACACACTAGCGCTATCTATAATGTCAAGGCCTGAAAACAAGGACTAGTTTAGGATTAGAGCTATGGCTATGAAACCTTCAAATATCTTAATGTGCATTTACACCTTTTTCTCCTGGTCTCTGGATTTTTCCAATTATGCTAACTCATTTTTATGGCATAGAAATTGGTAGTACACTATCGTTTTGAGGCAAGGTGCTGGAAAACAGGAATATTTGGCTCTAGAAAAGATTCTTTTTTCCCCAAAAGGAAATTACACTTCCTGATCCTGAAATGAAAAAAAATCTGTTCTGCAAGTTGCATTAATATCTTATCTATCATATACCTCAACATTAGGTATCATTGGTAGACCGAAAGGTCGCCAATCTCTGTTCTAGATGAACAGAGATTGTTCCAGCAACTGAGGAAGCAAAGTTAATAGTAAAAGATGCTGGAAATTGTAATTTAACCACATCATTGTTTTCCATCCCTGGTTTAGGAAAGCTAGAAGAAACCATATAATCTGAACAGGAAAACTTCCTAGATAATTCTACACTTCAAGGACCAAAAGGAACCCTAACAACTCCATCCCATCACCAATCCTCAGAAAACCAATTGCTAAAATAGATATTGCTAAAACTTGCTAAAACCATTTTGGAAACTGCATGAATCGAAAACATTCAACTTCTCTAGGAACAAAAATGTTGGCATCACCTATTCAAGTAGTTACTTTGTTAATCCTAAAACAAAATATAAAGTGAGCTGAAATTTCACTGTACTCTTTTATTGAGCCAAATTTTAGCAAGGACAATTACCCATAATCTTTTTTTAATCAGGCAGATGGGCAGATTTTTTGCACTTTTACATCTAGTCAAGAAAACTTAAGATTGCTCCCTGTAATGATAAAGTCAGAGTGCACTAAGATTATGTAGCAACTATAGAGGATAACTATATAACTATAAGGATTGGAAATAAAAACACTGCACAAAAATAATGACAATTTTATTCCTGCTTTGTAAGAAAAATCTGTTAAAAAGGTAAATAAATTTACAATACAATGGAATCTCAGGTTGCGACTGTAATCTGTTCTAGGACTACGATCACAACCCGATTTGGTCGTGACTGGAAGCATGACCGACTGCGCATGCGCAGACAAAAAAATGTGTGGGCTGCGCATGCATAGAAGGGGAAATCGGAGTGGAAATGTAATCTGCCACGAGCATGTTTGTTCACCACCCGATTTTGGAATCATGACCCGATTCAAAAATCAGGTGGCTTTTTGGTCGGAACTTGATTTGGTCACAAACAGAAGTGTTTGCGATCCGAGGTTCCACTGTTTGTGTAAATAAAACAGTAAAGTTACCATTGCTATTTCATGTAGCCTCATATAAATAATACATAGATACACACACACCGAGAGGTCTCCTGCTGGTGGTTCATTCAAATGACAACTAGATCTGACCCTGCTTAGCTTTCTATCTGCAACAAAAGGCAGCCCAATGGTACCACCTGCTGAGACTGCACAAGAGAAGTTAATAAAAGTTGAAGAAAAGAAATACCTAATGAATATGTAAAGCCTTGAAACTATAGTATTTTTCTCTTTGAAGTTTTCTTGTTCAGATGATATGGTTTCCTAAGTATTCAAGATAAGGAGCATGACTGACTTCAAAGAAGCAGCAAAATGACATATAACATCTTAGAATTTCACAACTGTCATAAATGGTGGGATTCAGTCTTCCTTGCCCTCAAAAGAAAAGTTTGCATTACAGAAAACTAAACTCAACATCCAATAAACAGCCAATAAGTGTATATGGGAGGGTGGAGATAAAACTCCGCCACCCCAAAGAAGATACCTGTCAGAGAGTGCACAAGTTCAGATGTCTCTACATCATACAAGTTGGCTGTCCTGTCCCATGAAGCGGTCACTGCTTGCTTCCCTCCAACCAGCCAATCAGCTGCTATGACAACACCCTGATGGCTTTTTAGGGAAGTCAGAGGAACTCGGATGGTGGGACAATCACTAGAGCCATCTCCATCTCCGTCAGCCTCATCCTTATCAGAGAACTCAACTTCATCTTCACCGGACATTTGCTGTTAATTTTGAAAATATTTAATTTGCATGAAATTTTCCACATTAAATGGGTTGATCCAATTAATTCCTGACATCAAAAATATCTCTGGAAAACACAAAGGTCTCTAAAGAGAAAAGAAAGAGCTTAAAGTGCTTGGGATAATATGACACACGGAAACTGTTGAAGACTCTAAAGAGACATGAATTTAATAGAGAAGTGTGTATAAGTACTTGGGGAACATAAAACACAATAAGGAATGTTTATGATTAGATGAATTTTGCAAACAAAATGCTATATCATTTACCTATTATTTGCTATAGGGATGCTATTCTTCAGATTCTAACCTATTTTGGGGACATCTGAAGTACATTGATAAAAACACTATTTTTCTAAATAATCCCAAGGAGATTTCCTTTAAAGCGTTTCTAAAGTTTTGATTGATTATTCAACAAGCCACTCTATAGTCATGCTCTACATTTGAATGGCAACTGGAAAATCCAACAGTGTTTCAAGGAAATTGATGGGGTCAGCTCTCCCAAGAAACGATATAATTGCTGTAAATACTAAAAATGTGGTTTCATAAATTTATGAAGTGTCACATATTACTTGGTTTCCACTGATACTAAGTTAGTCATGATTTCAGAACTTTATGGCCCGTATGTTGCCAGACCACTATTTGTTAAATAAGGCATTCAACAATACATCAATGATATAAATGAATGAATTTTAGGGGGGGGGGATGCATTTTCTCCAATACTAATTTCCATCTGCATAGAGTTAAACACTAAGAATCCCAAAAATCATACTAGAAACCATAACTTACATTACAGTCTGTGGTAGGTTGAGGGGTGGGCAATTGCACTATGTATCTCCAAATATGAGCTGTCTGATCCCCTGAAGCTGTAGAACAAAATTAACACTCTGTAAACAGCTATTTTGATTTTAATTCTCCAAAGAAGGAGAGGAGTGGGAAAAGCAAGATATGTAAGTGATCTTTACTCTTTCCTAATTACTTTCTTATATATAAGCCCTCTTAATTTATTGCAATGTACACACAGGCTAGTCTTTAAAGCTGTCCTGTAAACTTTTTCAATCTGGAAATATAAATATTGAGTAGAAAGAACTAACTTCTCCTCTCATTCACTGAAAGAACCTGAATGGATTTTCCACAATACCAAAATCCTAGATGCACTATAAACCTATTCCAACTTAATCTGAAATAAATTAGGAGGTACACCTTTTTCTCAAGTATTGAGTAAATATAATTTGGCAGGATAAACACCCTTTACATACCTGTAAGAGACACCTGTTCTGTTGGATGAAACTTTATGGAATTTACTGCATTAAAGAAAAAACAAACTTATGTTAGAAGAACAAATTTAGAAGAATACCTACCATATATACTCGAGTATAAGTCGACCCGAATATAAGCCGAGGCACCTAATTTTGCCACAAAAAACTGGGAAAACTTATTGACTCGAGTATAAGCCTAGGATAGGAAATGCAGCAGCTACTGGTAAATTTCGAAAATAAAAATAGATACCAATAAAAACTTTCACTAGGACAGTTGAGAATAAGTTTGATGTTCACAATTTCCTCTTTGAAAGAGACCAATAAATAGAGACAAGAAGATGAAGAAAAAGAAGTGTGTTTTTTCACACTTTTCACACTGCAGTTAACAAAAATGGCATCATAGGAACAGGCTTATTCTCAGTCCAAAGGTTTGTTTCTGATGTCTTCCCTGATTTAAGGGAAATTTGGGAAACGATCTCACTATCATGAAAGGTTTAATTGATTCACTAACCCCAAAGAAGATGATGATGATGACAGTGGGAGGCAGGAGTCACTCTCTCCCTTGCGAGAAAAAAGCAAGAGCCGTTCTTATGATCGCTCTCTCTCTCTCTCTCTCCGTAATACAGTCAAGCCCTTTCCAGCAC